CAAAAACATCGTTAAATTGCATTCGATAGCGGTCAAAATGGATATTTTCGTTGAAATATGCTGCCTGAAACTTTTCGCGATTAAAATACTTTCTTTTTATTTCGTAGAAGGAAGTAAAAACAGTTGGCTTATAGATTTACATGAACTATCTTATATCCTGGTGGAAGTGGACGAAAGTAGATGTGATAGTAAAGGCAAAATAATAAGATAAGTGGATAAAATTGCATCAAATTCTACATTACCGTGGATGTGAAACGTTTATGTGACACCGGTTCATGAAATGTTGACCCACGAAAGAAAGGAAAATTTCGTGCGTCATTCTGTTGCAAACGATCTTGTGACATGTCAGCCTGATTTTCTGACTTCTCTGCATTCCCCACAATCAAGATGGATTGAAATGATGCCACGCCGGGCAAAACCTCGGATCGGGATTTCCTACTCCGTTACTGACAATGGCAAAGCTTCGGAACCGCTGTATTGTAGCGGTTCCTACTAGAATATTAAATGTTTTAGATATATTTGTAATAAAGCGATTTCTTCTGATAGTGTCTGCAGACCTTTGGAAAGGTGAAGATAGGACTATGAAAATTACTACACAATTTTGTTCCTTCTTTTATGGCACCAGGTCACTGCGACGTGTTGTACAGTTTCGGAAAACATAATTGTTTCATCGAATAATGAAACATGAGATCGATAATTTTGTGCATATTGAGGTTTAGTTTTGCACCAATAGTTAATTTAACAGTTCAAGGGTGTGTCTTTGTGAGAGCTTCTTAATTAAAGTTAGATGTCCCTTGTACCGAAATCTGAACATGTAAATACTAATCATTGAGTATGTGTGGCAATCTTTTAATTTATCAGTTTTCTGAACACATCAGTGGAACTTTGAGTTATTGTTAATCTTTTATTATGGTTTACAAGCTGTGAATCTTGTTTTATTCTTGTTTTATTATGGCATCCAATTTGAGTGTCTAAGTAGATAATTGAATGGGTTATTTACTATTTTATTAATATTATAAATTAAAAGTTTAGTAAAGGACCGCATAAGCGACAATTCTAACAACAGTCAGTAATTTTAATAAGGTACCTTATCAAGAATGCTAAAACACTTAGTTAAGACTTCGGAAAAGAGCTTCTAAACAAAGTTCAATTTAACAGGTGATCAAACTTTAATTCTTCGTACATCTCCTACATTTATTACAACTAATTTTATATTTAACCGAAGTTTTTTTCTATAACCAACAATTCAGATGCTAACCATTGAATATGTTGCTCAGATCCGTTGTATGTCGATGTTTCATTACATGAATAGAGATTCAGATTGCAGCATATATGAAACATTTAAAAATGTCTCAGGGGTTTACACTTTAGAGCTATGTTTTCCTTCAAATGAACAGTATAACAAAAGAACAACTTGTAATTTTAGAGAGTGCTGGGTTATTTACTTTTTTTTTTTTGGCAAGATGATAAAGTAAGAGCGAAATCCATTATCATGCTCACCCATATGCGTGATGGAAATTATTTCCAAACTAGCAATTTTCTCTTCGTTTTAAAACCGAACGTGCTGTTCTATTTCGTGAGGTACTCAAAATTTAATACAGAACATAGCAAGAGTGCACGTAGACTTCAAAAGAAAAATCAATATTTCCATTTGCTAAATAATTTGCAGATAAAGGAAGACCTCTGCAATTATAACTAACGTATTCCATTTACAGCTGTGATCGATTGTTGTTACGAAGGTTTTTCATTTAAGTTTATACCTCCAACTAGTGTTATTTAAATTTCGATGGCAAGTTTAGTGATATTGGACTTCAATTAAGAAAACTAGTTATTGCTATGCACATTTTTCAATAAAAAAATATTTTCAATGCCCGTGAAGAACTCAGCTCAAAATTTAATGCATAATATTTATTACTTCCGAAAGCGTTTCAGTGTAATACCACAATATCATTTTAATCATAATGTCAAATGCGACACTCTTGATCCATAATCATATGTAGACTATAAGAAAAATTAATAATAATTTAAATTTTCCCTACTATTTTCAAGGAACAGACTAATTACAGCTTGTCATAGGTACTCAGTACTTATTTAAAACATTTTAGATTTTAAGCTCATTACTCAAGAATAATATTTCTTAGAAAATGTTTCAGTAGATATTAATATGGAAAGAAGAACCATAAGTTTTTGATGGGTAGATAACTAAAATAACTAAATACTAAATACAGAATATTGCTATCACCATAATGGACATTTTGAAATATAAATAAATAAAATTAATTTCTTTTAAAATGGTTAATTTTTTCTAAAGTTATTATCATTAAAATTATAATACAGGATGGAGGGGACGCTATATCACCTTTCATAATGTTCTTCAAAACCTTTCAGAATTAGTTAAATGTTTGAGTTATACTACAATGAAGAATTGCTAATGAAATATCTATAGCTGTCCATTTAAACTGAGTATAAAGTGGAAGACAGGTGTCTACTTCAGAGATGGTAGGTACATGTTAATATGGGACGCATCATGGATGTAAAAATCAGTAATTTATTACCGATAAAAAGTAGTTTTATGTAATCTAATGTTGACGGGGGAACTTGAAACTTTTGGGATTTCATTTTTACTTTCTCTTTATTGAGCAAAATACGTAATTGTCTAATATTTTGTTGTAGTCACAATGCATTTGTTCATTACAAATGGTACTGGGAGAAAGAGTGTAGCATTTATTATTTAAATTCACCTGCTATTTATAATTCCATCCTTTATTTTAAGTTCTTTCCGTTTTCTTACCAGAATTTTAGATAAGTTAAAGTATTAGCTGAGGTTTCTGGACTGTAAGACAGAGCGTGTCTCCGCCTTTCAAGGCTACGTTACTTTAGTTCTGCAATCACTGATAAGTTTGTGATTAGTCAGCCTCGCATTATTTGCTGCCAGTATTTAAACTGATATGCCGGTTAGAGTTTTCGGAGCCAGCTTAGTTTTAAATATAATTGTGTAGTCCTTGAGTACTAACCTACGTTTTAAATTTGAAATTCTCTGTTACTTTAGTTTCATCGTCATAAATGGTGGTTGATTTTGCTAAGCACAAAACATGAACTCATGTTCAAGTTCTGTTTTAATAGAAAAGTCGTTTTAAACCTTTTCAAGTCTTTGTAATTAATTTCAGACACAGTAAAAATTCGCTTAAGGTCTGTTAAGGTCTGGAACTAGTTTTTACTCCCCCAAAACACCAAACTATATAAATGAATTCGAAATTTAGGATTCAGAAGGGAAGTTACACGGTTGCTTTAGTTAGCTGCCAAATACTCTCAAAATTACCCATTTTTGACTAGCTGCGGCTTAAACCTTAAATCCGAAAACTTCTTTCAGAGTGAACGTTTCTGTAATCCTTAAAACGTATAACTAGGAATGCACTCATGCATAAGCCATGAAGTGAAGCTTCGTGGAAAGCCTATATTCTCTCTCCTTTGCGTATGCTTTTGTGTGAAATTGGAAGCATACTCGACGTGTATTCGAGAGATACAGGCTCTCCAGCATCAAAAACCCTAAAGACGCTACAAGTGGCGTCTATACACAACTGCCAACGTTTATGAAGGTCTAGGAAGCAAGCAAGGAAATCTTCAATTACGATGCTTGCAAGCTCATTTGTCACAGCCTGTTGGATGTCTGCAATAATCTTGATGAAGCTTTCCTTTCAATAACCTTTTCACTCATGAAAACAGGAAAAAATCACAATAATCTTTGACACAAATGTGGGAATACGTCTGGCTCTATCCAATACTTCAGCAGAAATTCTTCGTCTTTCCTCTTTCTGTTTGTCTGTTAGTGAGTGAGGGAGGATTTTTGCATTAAGTTTCTGTTTTCCTAAATCTTCGCGTAAAATCTTATGACACACATCACGATTCTAATTCAGTTCTTCTGATATCACACGCACAGTTACACGACGGTCTTCTTGCAATAACGCTCCACGTTTGCATCGGTATGTGCTACAGACGGGTGACCAGCTCTGGGATCGTCTTGCACTGAAACTCTGCCTCCACGAAACATTTTATGCCATTCGAAAACACGACTTCTTGAAAGGGCCTTGCCTATGCTTACTTAATCATGTTACACGTTTCACTAGGGATTTTCTCGAGCTTAAAGCAGAACTTGATGTTCACTCTTTGCTCATAATCAGCATCCATTGTGTCGCCTTAACGAAAATGATTACAATTCCCGAACAGTGTGTTGCTAAGCACAGCCCTTCTCCCTAGTAAATTTGCGTGGAAACATGGCAAAGGTCATGCCAAGTAAGGCTACATACCAGGTAACACAAAAACAACATATGTTCATTTTTGAAACTGCAAACTCATAAAAAATTGTCCTGAAACGTTTTTGACAAAGGATGTACATTTAAATTAACTTTGAAATAATGGGACTAATCCAAAAGCAAAATCTGAGATGTCGAATGGGAAGAAATTATTCTTTATGAAGTTTAAAAATTCATACGGAACTCAAAACAACATGCACTCCTATTTCCTACAAATTGCTTTTGAATCTAATGTAAAATGTCCACATCTTCAAACATTCCTTCAGTTTTCTCATTTCTGGAAATGTCTTCGATTATACTTGCTACGTACGAATTTCATCCAGTGTTTTATACAGTGTTTGATCAATTTTCATTAGCAAATAGTAAAAATTATTCTCAAACGTTTAGTACACAAATTGAATTTACGACAGAGCTTCTTTAAGTGAACTCAAGAAATCACTTATAAGTTGTAATTAATATATATAATAATCTCCGTAAAATCTGGTATAAAAAGATATGCGCAATGCATTAACACATGTTGGGTAATTTATAAGAATATGAAAGGAGATGGAAGGTTTAAAGCAAGTGTAAATGCAGAAGCAGTTTGAAAAATGTGTTTTACATTGACTATATTACTTATTTCATATCCTCTATATAACTGAAAATTAGGTTCGTTTAGCAAGAAAATAATGAGAGTATTTATTTACTTACCAGCGAATGCGACGTGAACCTTATTTTCAGGACGGAAAATTTGTACATACTGAGGCACACTCGGCGCGAAATCTCTGACTGCCCACGACCTTAGAATGGTATGCTCATCCTGAAAAGACAAAATTGTTCTGATTCATTGACAAATTTCATTAAACCATCCTCTTAAAATAATGACACCATAAATAACTATAATCTAAACTAGAGATGAGGGAACATTTGAAGTTAATGGACCATATTTATTTTAAGCAGCAGAATGCTACGCCACTTGTTCAGTTTAACATAGACAAATAATTTCAAGAATAATACTGCAAAAGAATCTCATTTATCCAAGCTCGGAATTACCAAGGTTATCCAAAGCAAAAATAACATCGTTGCGGTTTTTTATAATTCAAAATAGTTCTTATTTGTTCGTAATAATTTTTCCATGTCGTTCATTTTCTTAGAATTCATAAGGCTGAATGGCATCATCAACATGTGATAGAGGAGTTGTATGTACATGTTTAGTACTAAACTGATAGAGAAACATACCGGCGAAGGGAAAAAACATCGATATAAAAAGACAGAATCTCTATATAATGCCATTAGAAAAGTTCGGAATGACTTGTATGCAAAATCATTTATTTCTGCATTCTCTATGCATCATTTCATAATTAAATTTTTAACTTTAGTATGAGGCAAGATTTTCGCATTGAAATGTAACTGCAACTATAACAGTTTCAGGATAAATGACATACGATGAACATAAGGCTGAATGTGCATTTTCCCGACTTCTAATGCGTTATCAAATTCGCTTAATTAAACAGATGTATAAGCAATAAAAATGTTTGAATATACTTAATGTTTTTATTCAGAATAGTTTTGGTTTTATGTTTCTACAAATACTGCAAGCAAAATACTTCTTGAAGAACGTATTCAAATTATATAGACTGAGAAAAAAATAAATGAATGTTTCTTTCATTGTTTGTTAATAATAGGGTTTGGCTTAACGATGATCCGGTTGTTTTGAGTTAAATTTTCATTTAGCGACGTCCATATTTTGCACGTGAGCTATTTAAAATGACAAATTTAAAACTTCCTATTTATCCTCACATTAATATTTCAATAATACTTTCAGAAGCATTGTAACCTATGAAACACACACTTGGTGCAGTTTATGATAAGGACATCAAACAAAATTGCACGGCGCTTATGAATTTAATTCTTAATGCTTAGAAGAATCTTTATTACCATCTTACAAAAGCAATAAATGTAAAACATTATAGTGCTTGAGAATGTTCCACAGCCGTTAAACACATGCCGTTTAGTTTCTTTCTACTAGAAAGAAGATTTCAGAATTTTACATTAAGAAAGCAGTTTTTCTTTGGAAATCTTCCTTTTCACCTTAAAATGTTCCTTCTCGTAAAAAGTTCTTTTTCCTTTTAAAAATCACTTATATGAAGGAGAAATAACGGTACATCTAATGCGTTACTAAATTTAATTTTTCAGTTTTGCGGTTGTATTTGAATTCAAAACACACATCAAAATGCGCTTAATTCGCAACTAAACTGAAAATTTTGTTACGCTGCTCAATTTGAATTCAGAACATTTGTCAAATGTATTTAATTCGATGCCTAAATTATTTAGAGTAAATTATAAAAAAAGCTTATATAACATGTTAATAAAACTATACAATTGCTACCGGCTGCAACATAACTGAGCAAATTGCTTTCATGAGTATCAAAATTATTAAATCTGGGTTGAACTTACTCAAAATGTATTAGTTTACTTGTTAAAAGTAAATATGAGTTTTCTGCAATTAGTTTTGTTGTCTTTTCAACAATATGTCACAAACACAATTTTTTCCAATCTACCTTTCAGAGTAAACGAAAACTTCCTGCATAAAATCTCATGTTTCCGGAAATTAGAATGTTGTGTAGCAAAAATCACTTAATTATTTAAATTACAACTTATTAAAAATTTAATTTATTAATATTCTAAATTTATTCTACACAAAGTGTATTTTATTTACGTAATAACTGCTCTAATTTGTTTAATTTTAATCGGGACTTTTTTGTGCGAAAGATTTGGTACGTTCTTTTCACTTGTTACTCGTAAATGCGCTGAAACACACAATGGAATCGGATGAATTTCTGAGTAATAAACTTGATTGTTTAGTACTTAAGTTTAACCATTATTAATTTATACCACTAGAAGCAGAAAAATTATCTCCTTAATTTAAGGTCACTTGCAAAATTCTAGCTTTAAGAGATTTTGAGATATGGTAATTTATTTAACGAAAATTTACAGTTTCCTTTGTGTGAAAAGTATTAGCAGTTTACAGTTTCCTTTGTGTGAAAAGTATTTGAAATTGTAAAAGGTAGAAAACACAGTTTTTAACAAGATTTTCTGGACGCTCCTAGAATATTTCTGGTGGGGAGAGTTTATGTTTGCCACCTCGACGTTGCAGACGTTCCAGGCTTGGCGAGAATTTGGCGAATTTTAAATTAAGTTTAGTTCAACGACGCGGAAAAAGGAGAAATTTTACATAGCGTAAAGCGGTGATGGTAACAACTGTTTTTTTTCACAATTTAGGGCGTGTGTTAGCCAATGTGGCAGTCTTGTCACATCTATAAGGAGTTGCATTTCGGGATTTCACTCTCTTGTGACTTCTTCTCCTTCTATCTTGCTTCGGCTCGTCGTTCGCCTCCATTTGCTTGCGGCTCTCAACATGTTATTCGCTTGCGGTAAAGTTTAGTCTTAGTTTAGCGGTGGGAAACAACTGTTTTTTTTTCTCGTGGCTTTGGCCCGAGAACCGTTTGTTTTACCAATTATCTGCAACAGCTTATAAGAAGATAATGTCACCTTATCCGTTGTCGGCTATCATCTGAACCTGTTATGTTACCCCGGTCAAGGGTATTTTACTTACAATTCTTACAATAGATGTCCAAAATGACTGGTCTACACTTAAAATGAATATTCCAGATCCACAAATATCCGTTGAATTTTCTGACTCCATATGCTGCCTCTCAAGCTTCATCAACTGGCGGTGCCGTTCTTCAAGGAAGAGGTGTTTCCGGCTCCAATTTCACCTTTAAACTGCTGGAATTTTACGGGCACTTTTACATCTATTAGCACATGTCCGTTTTTCTTCGGGTCTACCTTAACTCACCTATGAACACTAAGTTCTGCATCGGACTCATGCAAAAGCTATTCATCCGGACTATTTATTACATTTGAGTCGTGTTATTGTTTACTCCATCATGTCCTTGTTGTCGCTCGCCAGATTACCAGATAAAACCAGTTTCCATCTTATTTTCTTTAACCTCTATTCACTGGAACAATAGTTAACTTTTGTTTGCCTCGATTAAATTGAAAATTTGATATGTTAAGGTAACTGTTTAAGAGTATAATAGTTTAACTTGGTACCTATGACTGATCTACATTGCTATGCCATAATAAGGAAGTTTTAAATTATTTATAACTGAAGAAATGTTAAAGAAATTTAAATAGTTAGTTAAAGTTATTTGATTTTTAAGGCTCAGAAAACAGAGAATACTTTCTAGTACCTATCGTAAAGTAATATTTACTGAGAATTAAATTCGTTTAATAGTATGATCCCTGTAAGAATTTTGTTAAATGCTATGTTTTGATTGATTTTTTATGTTCAATATGTTGGAAAATAATATGTTCTACTAACGTGAAAATTGAGTTAAGGGTTCTAAATAGAGTTAAAGGTTCAAACCCCAAATTATATATATACATATCCTCTGTTTTTATTTTCACCCGGGTGAAAATTTTATATATATATATATATATATACTGATGATTTAAATAGGTTAAATGATTTTTGAAGTACTCTCCCATTGTTTAATTAAAATCAGGATTTTCTTGAAATAACAATTGTGTGTTTTGTTTAATCATTGCTTATGTTGCTCACCAGTCACCTACACGGAGTTGTAGCGGTTCTTCTTTCTTTAAAACACAACGCAATTCTATTTAGTTAGATTAGGATATTAGGAAAATTTAATTTGGTATTGTGGTTTCCTTCTTAAAAGGAGCCATAACAAAATAATAGATGCTGAACGCAAAAGATAAGATTAAACTACTAACTGTCAGCAATTTTACATATTCAATTGCAGGAAGTCTTGAGACATTTATTTTACCTTATAAAATTTAGTTAATGGGATTTTATTATAAACTCACCGCATTTTTGGTATGGTAATTAATGAGTACAATTACCACGCAATCTGGCTATAAATTCGCATAAACTTGGATGCTCGTGATTGTTACGTTTACAAGGAAAAGACACACGTGATATATTTCGGCCACAAAGCTCTTATCCTAGGTGGACTGTGGGGAAAGATGTGCAGGAGACTCTCAGATACCGTCTCCAAGATATGTTGATCAAAATGATTATGATGGTGCTTAAGAGCTTCATGTACCGTGTCATATCTGTACGGCGATTGCTCAGATCGAAATGTGTTTTGCTTTCAAATTCTCTCTGGAAAACGTTTGGATGAAACTATGTACAATTCCCAAAATTACTATCAGAACATACAATAAAACTGCATTTGAACCCACTTTTCCCAGAAAAATGACTAAAATGATAAGACTTACAGCAGCAGACCGGTCGGCGTAATTTCTAGCCGCTAGTATAAAACAAGCTTCGGCAGCGTTCATTCTGGAAATAAAGGATAATGCAAAAATAATTTTGATGTGAATTCTAAAGAAAACTTTCATGTGCGAAAACTGTACGCAGTCACATAACAATTTGAAATAAAATCGCCTTTTCCTTACCTTGCCCTCGCCAAATCGAAGTCTTTCAGGGCTGATCCCTGGATATAGATGACTCTCTGGGCCCACATGGGCACCTGAAGAATCATCTTCATGGTCGCATCCAGCTCACAGGGTGATAGAAGAACGACATAATAATCCTACATAGAGAGAAAACAATTTTAACAAAGATGCTATCGAAACTTCTAGGCATAAAAGTTGGATTTGTTAGCTTCGAGGAATTCAGAAGTAGGGAATTCCGAAACGGAATGATGTAAAATGAAATACCAGTTCCTTATAGTATTTACCTTGATTTATTATTAAATTCATTACCAATCAATTTTTCTGTTGTTCACATCTTACTAAAATACTTTATTATAAGCAATAGAAGGAAAAATTTATTTATAATCAGAAAACTTAGAATTGCCATCTATTTCATCAAAGAATAGTTTACCCTAAATGCTTTAAATTTTATTGTTCGTTTTTGTTTCTTAAACAAAAATACCGCCTACTGTTTTACAGCTTATAAAAACAACCTTTACTGGTGAACAAAATTAAAAATCGCTGCAAAACGAATTTCAGCTTGACAAGCTCCGAGGTTTATTTCTGCATTTCTCTTTCTTACATAAAGTGGTATAAGCACAAAACTATCACAATATACTGAAAACAGTAATGCTTCTTGTAACACGAATTCCCTTCTTAATTGTCTAATGAACGCGAAATAATTGAAGAAAAGGGATGAGGTATAATAAAGGATTGCAGATTAGCTATGTAGTCGCGTGTCTTAAGTAAAAAGAATGTTTATAGCTTTCACGTCAGTTTTATATGTTAAGTAGTTCAGGTTTAAAAAACGACATGTGTATGCATATAATAGAATTAAAAACGTGGGTATTTGTAAGAGTGGTATTGTGCACTTCATCATTCCATAAAAAATTAACGGAAATCCTCTTCCACAAACTACACACTTATACACCTCTGTTTGAAAGCTTTCAGAGATCCTATTTTCATATCGCTTGGGTCACAATCGGGAATTTCCTTCAGAAAAAGAATCTTTTGTAAAGTTCCGAATGTAAGAAATTTCGTCTTTTAAATTACTTAAGTATATTTCTTAGTAGTGTAATGAAATAAGCCATTTGAAAACAGTATGCAGTCTTTAAATATATATATTTGTTTGCTAATGTGTGTATTACTGGCATCACTACCGATGTCCTGTTTAGAAGTTTTCTAATTATATTATTTTTATAGGAATGTTTGGTTTAAAAATATAATCTATCGCAAGATTACGTTTTTTAGTTGGACTGCAACTATATGCTTATCTTTTTAAAAAAAAACATTTTAAACAGTAGCAATACATTTCAATACTATACTATTTCGATACTTCTCGATTTATACCAATTCACGCTAAAAAAAAAGGCCGTTTGAAATTTTATTATGTTTAAGAATTTCACTTTTAAATGATCGTTTTTCGATATGTAAAATCCTAACTTTAAACTTTTTAGTAGTTTCTTAAAATTAGAAATAAAAACGTTTCTACTTTTCAAATACTTTTTGAGTTGTGCATACAAAAGTCTTGAATCTCATTTATTTTGAGTCCTTATTTATCATGTCAAAAGTCAAGTGTTTTCAGGTAACTATAAATCTATAAAAGTTCAAGGTAAGCTGTTTAATAATTATTCATTATTGAACTTACCATTAAACACACTGGTTTTACAAAAAATATTTCATCCATGGCTGAGATGAGTAAAACTGATCTTCGACACAGGAAAGGTATATAAATAATTAGATCAAGATTAGTCATTGAAAATATGTGAATAAATCTTAATCAAACACGAATAAATCATGTTTTACCAGCATTCACAATCTAAGCAACGAAAATAAAGTTACTAAAATATTTTGTTTTTCAGTTAAATAATCGATTCCGTAAATTTGCCAATTCTTAATGTCAGTCTTATTCCTAAACTAATCTGGTTAAGAGATTAGTCTAAATAATGAGAAGACCAGTGCCCAAAGCTAAGGTTAGTTCTCTGGTTAAACACATGGTAACGCATGTAAACACTATTTACGTATGGAGATTCCTTTTAAGAAGAATTTTAGAAGCTAAAGGAATATCAAGAATGCCAGAAAGAGAATTAAATTTAATTCTTTAAAATGCAAATATCACATTAGAGTTGCTTAGAATTTTGACTAGAACGCGCATGAGTCAGAAACAGTAAAGGAATTTAGTTTAAAGAACGAATAAGTTTAATAGTAAAGTAAATATAATGATGACGAAAAGTAAAGTAATAATTTAATAAATATCCTAGCTGAGAATGAAGTAGTAAACGCAGGTGTCTTTTAAAAAGAAACAAGTGAAACAGCTTAACTTATACGGATGATGAGATATTTTGGTGTTTGTGAAAAGTGGTGGGGTAAGGATTTTGACTTGATATCCAGGTGATGGCTTAAAACAATTCGAACTCTATTCCAAATACGCTACTTTTAGTTTTCTTTCAAAAGTGCTGACAATAACTATTTTCCCTTTACCGCATTTAAATATGAATTTTCATTGACACTTTCACTTAAAACTGTAAATAAAACAAGCGCGAAGTTCCTGTTTACGGAAACATTTTAAATACGTTTCATTGAAAGAACTGAATTCATTCTATTGCAGTTAAGAGGTAAAGGATCTGTTTTTACTTTGTGCGTGATTGGCTATATACTACAGTGACCGTAATTTTGATTGATTTATTTAGTTTTCTTCAGAAACAAAGTCTTCGATTTCGTAATCAGTCATACTACATATAAATTTTGAGACGTGCCAATAATTCAATACTTATTCTATGCTGCGGGAACAGAAGTCCTTTTCTAAAAATAACATATCATGAAGACCAGGAACATAATACTCATGACTATTGCATATATTATGGATTTAACATTTTTAATTGGGCATATAAATATTTTTGTGTGCATTTATAGATGCCCATAAACTTTTATTGATGAACTTCATTAAAATTATTAACGGATTAACCACTAATATGAAGCGGAATCGAAATAATACAATAAAGAATAGTGATTAAATACAATAAAGAATAGTGATTGCTATAACTCATTCATCAATTAGCTTGAATTTAAAGACAAAATATAAGCCATGTTCGAGGATAAAATTATTCAATTTTCATTAAGGTTAAAAAAATCATCACAAATAAGTTATTAAAAGTTAATAAGATAAAATTTTATTTATTATCTAAATATTTTTTGTATTAAATTTTTAAGAGTATCTTGTTTGAATGATGTTCAACATTATTCATATTTGTGATAGTTAACTATTATTTTATCAAGATTTCGGGGAACTTCTAAGTTTCTCTTTATACTAGAATCAGCATGAATAATAGCGCTCTTAGCATTTTAAATGCGATTTTGGACTAAATTAAGTTCTTCCATAGTTAACGTCTTCAAATTAGATCACAAAATTAGAACAATGTTTTTCCCTGATCACAATAAAAATTCTACATTTATGAGTACGTTTATCGCTTTTTTATTGAAAGTGTTGGGAAACAATTCACCGTTTTATAAATTGTGACAGAATTTTAAGCAAAACTTATTAATTGAAATTATTCCCTAATACTAAATAATTCTTCAAAAAGAAAAGGTTTATTAAATCATGAACATTATGTACCGTCAACTCCGATGCTTGCATGTTGCGCTTGCATGTTGCTTCGTAAACGAAACAACTACCTTTTTTTTTTCTTTATTAACAACCCTGCTTGAATAAAAAAAAATATCGGTACAGATTGGCGAAAAATGTCAGTCAAAGTAAAAATAAAACTTAATAAAGAATGACGTTAACTAATTAATTACTCGTATAAAAGAAGAAATAGTACTACATAACTTAACTCAATCATTTTATATTATATCAGTTATATTAAATCCACGTTAAACGGTGATTTATACGAGTATCTCCAACTAGATACAACAGCTGCAGAACTAACTAGCAGAATGAAATACAGGTGTGTCCCAGTTTGCCAAATGTTCATTCAAATTTTAACGTTTCAGTAGAGAAATCGTGCGCGTTCTTTGTTGACAGTTTGTAGAGACATTAGGATTTTTGGAAGCAGGCAAGATGAAAAAATAAGCAACGCCTTCTCCGGAAATCGAACCACGGACCTCTTAAATACGCGCCCAGCGTGCAGACCACCACACCATGAAGGCATGCGAAGAAGGCGGAAGAAATACCTTATAAGTTCATTGAATAAAGTGGCATGCTAATTTGTTCTGGAATGTTTACAATTTAGCATGGTTGAGCTCTTAAGATTCTAATTAAAGGACATTATAATCCCAAAATGATAAAACAAAACTTTGTTTATATGTATTCTGATTCATTTCCTTCTTGTTCTACAATGAAAACATGGAAAACATTTCGTTTAGACGGAGAACTCGTATATAAGTTTGGTGAATATCGATCACTAGTGGCATTGACAACTAAAACATATTGCTCGTGTCTAAGAAAAAATATGAAATAGTAGAAGATTAAACGTTTGGTACAGCTACAAGATTACATGTTCCTACAACAAGCTGTTTCTCATTGTTTCTGTGCAAATCTTCATATGATTTTGGTTTGGTCTAGTTTATTATGGCAAAGCATACTGGGATATCTGCCTAAGGGGAGGAATGCCTTCGTGGAGGACTTTTTTGAGAAAAATTGGCTCGTATATACGTTACACACGGAGGAAACCACGAAAGGCTCATGCAACCAATCCTTCTTCATATGAACAAAGTCTCTACAGGATGGGTACCTCAACCTCTGCCAACAATTCAAAACCCGCAGAGTGTCAATGCAATTCAAAGATAGCAATGTGCGTTCAAGGAAATCAACCACCATCATTACAGCCCAGAAATAACTCTAATTATTACCTGTTCTGACGTTCGTGGGAAAGAAATATTGATTATAACTCCTTTTTGCACGTCATGGAATAGTTAGGGAACCTTCAAATTCCTTTTCCACGGACATAGAGGTGATCATTAAACAGTGCGAAAAGTGTATTAAATTACAAGGGGATCGTATTAAAAAAAGAACTATTAAAAAAGAACTCTATTTCTTTCAGAAAAAAGTTTTGCATCGCCTTACAGTTAGATCGAATTCCAAGTTTTGGATCTCTTACAATTACCGAAAGAAATCAGAAAA